TTTTGGTACCATACGTTGCAGCCACACATAACACTCCATCAGTGGCAGAGCGGCCGAAGGAACAAGGGAAGGATGGGGTTACGTCCAGATCCCGGTTCTCATCCCCTGCCGTGACAACAACGAGCATGCCAGCTTCAGTTGCTTCCCGAATCTTGTCGGTAACGGCTTGGGATCTCCTTGAATCGCAACCTTCCGTGAAGAGAATAACTTTCACATCATCACTCCTCTCATTGATCAGGTAGGTGAGAGCATCCGCCATTGCGGAGAAAGTCACTCCTTTGCCGTCGAATATGGGCAGTATACGCACCTCGTCCAGAATACCCGCCATACCGATCTTGTTATTCCTGATAGCAGCAACGATGCCAGTCATCATAGTTCCGTGCGGTCCTCGTGGACTGGTATCATCATTCTAATCAACGACGTTGTAGCCCTTGATGACGATATCCTTCAAGTCAGGGTGAGTTGCCTCGATTCCGTCGTCAATAACTGCGATGGTCACAGGTGTCCTCTTGGGACCAGAGTCCACGATATCCCAAGCCTCCGGGACAGAGATGGCCTCAAGATAAGCCTTCTGCATGTGATAGTATTTGTCGTTAGGATCGCCGTTCACAGGACCGAGCCCACGGAAATGGCCACTTTCGTCCACTTCTGCTTTAACGTAGAGAAGGTCGCATGAGAAGAACCAGAATGATGTTACGAGGAGCTTCATTGTAAACCACAAAGATGGGCGATTCGTTTTGCTTCGGTGTGTCGGAATGTACGCGTAAACTACCTTCTTTGAGTCACGCAGATGGTACGGATGAGTGACGGATTATCCGTGTTGGCACGTAACTGTCGAGGGGTGATCTGTATAGATAGCACAAGTCATCAAGAGCATCTGCTCAGGTTTGGATAGGTCTAGCACATCGTTATCAGTGTAGCAAAGACGCCTGAATCGTCGTAATGGAGAATATCGAGCCATATTCGTATAGGCATTGGTGGAACCGTACCACGTACGTGACGTACCACATGTAGAACTGAAACGTGTGATACGCTGTCACCGCGTTGTACGCGAGCCTAGGATGGGTAAGTACGCAAGATGGGTATCTTCGCCCGACGAATCAGACGGTTTCGAATCCCCAACGGTCACGAGGAATGCCAATCGATTTCTAATAGTTGAGGCTTAGTCGTCTTATCTCAAATCTTCCAGATAAGGTATCTTGGGTCAAGATACCTTCGAGGTCCTGTTTCGGTCC